GCGCGAAAACCTACTTATAAACGAAATTAAGTAGTGTAGGCGATTGCTACATCTCAAATACAACCTTGCTTCATCGACAATATCAGCACAGAATGTGATTTGGACACATTCCCGGCCTTGCTTGCAATTCACATTTGTCCTGTGGCAGTCTGGCGTCGTGGCTAAAGTGTCGAGATTATAATCTGCACTGTCATGGTTCGAATCCCGCTAGGGGTCGAAACTGCAACTCCCGTCTGCCTGGATGAGAACATCTTTTGGAAAAGCAAGGCTATGTGAAATTGACAGGAAAAGCAAGGTCTACCCATATTATTGTGGGAAAATTCAACTGCCAGTCAACCATTTCGCTTTAAAGGAAATACCTCTCATATATAGGATCTACTGGTAGTCTCGAAGGCAAGATCTCATAAAACAAAAATAAGACCACTTTTAGCTTGACTACAACAATTCACTAATAGCGACCATTGAATAAACCAATAAAACCATTGCATTTATGCATTCCAATACATTTCATTAATTATGAACGTATTTATGCTTTCAAGGCCAAGCAGTTAATTTTTAATGCTAATATAGTTATTGATCAGTGCCATTATTATTATTTACACTAGTTCAGGAGGCACAGCAGCAACCGATTTCTCCGAGGGCGATTGATTTAGCCAATAATTGTTCCTTGTCGTCAACCAAAGACACTAGAAGCAGAGATCCCATTCAGCTGGACGAATCACAGCTTGTTTCGCTGGCAGTCTACGGGAAGCTTGATGAAATTCCGGCATCAGGGGAGACGCAGCAGATGGCTAGTGAGCAAACAGGTCTTCGATGTGTGGAAATGCAGCTATCTTTGATGGGCGAGACGGCAAAAGTAAGGAAGACTGACACGTCCGAGGGCTCTTGCAAAAAAAGTGTCGTTTACCGTGAACCAATACGGCATGACAACCAGGAAATCAAGATAATTGAAGTGGAAAAGCGAACAAAATGGCCTAAAAATGGCTTCCTGCCTCAAGCCTACTTGGACACGAAGTGGAAAAGAAACAAAATTAAACGAGGCAGATGCGAGGGTTGGAGAATGCCCGGACAGTTGATTTCATTCAGTCCCACCATTTCTCTCCTGGAACCCCCACAAATTCCCGCTTCTGACTCCATTTCACAACCACTCCCATCTGGAAAGAGCCTTACTTTCGAAAATTATGGACTACCGACCAAGATGCTCGATTCCGTCGCTATAGAGGCAGATTCAAACCAAGATTCTTCCGTCTCTCCCTCACCTCCTGACGGAAACTGTACGGCTATTGTTCACGCCATTCACTTGCCCAATGTTGGTCAGGAGCTAAAAACATTCGAACGAGAGCTTGCATATTCGGCCACTGAAACAGAAGAGTCTAATTGTACATTCCAATCGGCCGGTCAATTGCTGACGCCGAAACTCAACGCCTGTGAACTTCACACCAATATACACATCCGGGCACCCGGTTTAGAATCTCGACCCAAAGACTCGCCTAAGGCTCTTTTTGAGGTACATGTAGACGATAAGAACCGCAATCACCCTTTCAACCTGACTTTTGGGCCCAAAACACCCAAGCAAGCCAGACTTGGAGAAGCCACCCTCGAAATGCACACAAAACAATGGATTTAAGGCACTCGACGTGAATAAAAATTCTGTTAGAATGAACTAAAATCTATATGAAATGAATTCACCCTATTTCGTTTTATGTAATGAAAGTCTGGTATATTAACATTTTCACAATGCTATGAGTTGAAATTATGTTTTCATTGAATTTCCTATGGTCTTGCTATCCCCAAAAGTATTCTCATCCCGACTAGAGTGGACGGCAATTTTGGCCTCACCAGAGCTGGTCCCATCAGCACTCACAGCGGCACTCGAACTATGACAGTGTAGAGTATACTCTCGACATGTAACACACTACATCACATGATCACGAGTGCCCTTTACCCACAGGACAGATGTGACTTTCAAGGTATGCCAGGCATTTTCCTACATCACATTCTGTGGATGAAACAGTTTTGTATTTGCCATATCAATCGAGTACTGTACATATTTTTCGTTAGTAAGTAGGCTTTCGAGACTACCACTATGTCATGTATATGAAATGTATAACCGACATCTCAAATGGTAGTCTGGAAAGCCTAATTATTAACTAAACATAAGTAATTTAGTCAACTGCTTTATCAAATACAATCCTATGACAGAATGTGATTTAGGAAAATGTCCTGGCTTCCTTGAAATTCACATCCGCCATGTTACTCAAGAGCATTTGTGACAGTGTGGCTTAGTGGGTCGCGTGTCGAGCTCATACTCTGCTCTACCACAAGTCGGCTTCGAGTCCCACTTGGTGTGCAGAGAAGACCAAGGCGAGGTCGAAATGAGAATGCCTTTAGGGAAAGTAAGGTTATGCGAAATAGGACCGTAAACTCCACTCCTATGATTGTGGGAAAATTCAACCACCAGTAGCCTCATCACTTTAACTGAAATAGGTGAATGCATCGCAAATGTATAATCTAATGGTAATCTCAAAAGCCTCCTTAAAAGCAAAAAAATGAATTAAAATTTGTTTACTTTTTTGCATGGCGACCAAGGTTCTGTTAACTCTCCTTTGGTCGCAGCCTCCTATCATTACCTAAACGTAGCCTGATCTCGTTTTCTCTACTTGGCCGGGTTGTCAAGGCGGATTCCTCTGTCAGACATCCAGTCTGTGGTATCAGCGAACTTTGCCGTGCCTAGCACAGAACTTCAACTCATCCAAAGTGAATATAATAAACTATTACAACTAGAAGTTGTGAGATAAGAGAGAATGGGACATCGCAACTGTTCAACAGAATGTTGACCAGTGAGTGGACTTCAATTGTCTCTTTTATGTGTTGTAACTTGTTGCTAAGACTTACAAGGCTTACGGACGAGGCAGACTCTGATGCCGGCCCATCTGGGAAAGTACAAAATCTTGGGTCTGAAGCTGGAAATTATTATAAATATTCTGGCAGAAGAGGCAGAGTTAGGTAGGTCCTTTAGACTGCCATGGCAACACGACCATGTCGCGAAAATGAGATCAGGCCACTTCTAAAATATATTTAATCCAATTCCGTACTACATTTCTTATATGTTTTGTAGTCTCGTCTTTTTCATACGAAGAGACAGTATGACTTTAGCGGAGATTAATTTAAGCCAGGATTAGCTAAAGCACCCTCTTCGTGTGTAGAGAAGAGAATAATGTGGGCCTTTTTATTCAGGATCAGGTTTAATTTTTATTTCATTAGATGCTAAAAAAACGAGCTAGCAAATAAATGGTCTACTGTTTGGGATGGTTCCAACGCAGGCCTTTACCGGAGAACTTTATCCTAAACTGACATCTACTGTTCTAATTAAAACTGTCTATCATCATCATTTGATCTCCCTTCTCAGATTTAATCTTGCTGGTTAAACCTAAAAGTGTATCTGTTTAAAGAAAAACTGTGTTTCGATAAATTCCTTAGTGATGCATTTTAACGTTAC